CTCCTATTATGTGTATTTGAAAACGATTTAAGGAAGTTTATTTATCAGTTTGGAGAGTGATTTACGGCCCTATTCCCACGCAAGAAACTCATCTTTGTTTTTTACAAAATATTTGTAATAAACTCAATGGACGATAGACCGTACCAGGAAACTAGTTCGCCGGACACTCCTGAGTATAAAGTATTTTTGCAAGACCATTTTGAAATTGTATTTTTTTTTTTTAATTTTTTTTTGTAATTTGTCCATGATTCAATAATGAAAGGTTTTGTAAGAAAAACTTTCTCTCGCTCTAATTTTATCAATGACACTCCCACCCTACTCCTAAAAACAAAAACAGTAATATTTCTTTTCCAAATTTCTTTGCAAGTTTTAAGAACATTTTTAAATTGTTAGTAGTGAAATTTTTACTTTTTAAATTTGAAGAAATGTTTGTTCTTCATTCGCTGGCGCCAACAAGACAAAATGGGTGAGAATCGTTGGACTACAGAAATTCTATGTAGGCTAAAGAGACGAAATTCCCTTAAATGTCGAAATGTGTATGTCGATATTCATGGAGACCTCTTGATTCTGCCAAGGCGCTGTAGAGTAAAGCGTGCAATGGTTTTGTTAAATGAGCCAACGAAGGTATTTAGGTATTGTCCTCCACAACACAGTCCTGGTGTCTCCGAATGAGACTTTGACGCAATATAACATTGCCAAACCGCATCCATAGGCCCAATCGTCACACGACAGCTCGGTTTAGTCAATGGCGCGATGTGCATATGTAATTGCACACTTAACACGTTGGCTGCCACGTCGCACGTTTTCATGTGACACCCAGATGTTACCCTGAGGCCACGTCGCACATTTTCGTACATTTTAATATGGAATTTTACATGGAATTTGGATTCTCTGGCCTGTGGTGAACATTTTGGTGTATTTCCCATGGCCGCTGTGTATTTTTAATGGTATTTTTTTTTGGATAATAAAAAAGTTGGAAATTTAAAAGAAAACTGCTATAACTGCAAAATTAGGGACCAAAATAAAGTCGCGAGTAGTCAAAACTTCTATTTAGGCACTAAGAAACAAACCGGTCGACCGGGCACAACGAAGAGTTCCTGAAGATGACCTCAGATTGAGGTCGAAATATCGACGTTGAAAATTATTGAACTAAAACCTGTGTTTTATGTTTTCTCTGGGCCTCGAGCTTATCAATTAAAAATTACATCAGTTTACAATTTAAAGGCCGATAAACCAAAACAAACATTTTTTTATATTTTGACTAAAAGTCATTCAAATTGTTTTTCGTGCAACCCGGCGAATGGTTAATATTCTGACGGTTGTATAATCTCCCCATTAAAAGTGCGACATCAAAGAATTCGAATTACCATATTCGAAACAATTGAACCGCGAAGGAAACGTAAGCTCCAAATTTTTTTATTTGCCGTTTTTTTTTTGTTTAATAAATATTGCATATTTTCCGCAAACAAATAGCTTCTTCATATCCATCATCTGGCAAAGAAACACAACAAAAAAAAAGCTGAAAGTGGACCATCCATTCTCGAGTTATGCGCCATCTGACGTACGCAAGTATGGTATATACATAGAAAAATTTATTTTTAATAACAATCGGGGGTTATATTCGATGTAAATAAGCTTGTTTAAATTAAATAATTAAATCAAATTCGGTTATGTTTTAAAATATGACCATTCACAATGATCCACACCTTTTTATGGAATTTAGCTCCCATTTTAGGAAGTGTGATTGAATTCTTCCCCTTTTTCTCCTGCTTCCATAAACCATCCCTGTGGGTGGGAGTGCCAAATTTTAGAAAAAAGCTACTTACAAAACCTTTAATAATTGAATCATGTAATTTGTCGTCATTTTTTTAATTTTTTGTCATATCTTCGGCGTTTACAGTTGGACCTTAAAGTAAAATATATCGATTAGGGCTGTGCGATTATTCGATTACTCGAGCAAGTTGGTTAATCAATTATTCGGTTAATCAATTACTCGAGTAATCAAGATTTTGATTACTCAAAACGATGATTAATCGAGTTACTTGAAATATGATTACTCAAAAAAAAACTTTTGCTCGTTAAAAGAGTTTGCTTTGGAAAATGTTTATTTTCTTTTTTACATTCTGTATATGAAAAAAATTTTTCGTTTTAATTTTTGAAAACAGAAACGTTGTTTTCAAAGTATCAAGGAACTTTAACTACTTTATACATATGTAAAGAGTTGAAATGTTGATTACTCATTTTACTCGAAATGTTGATTAATCATAAAGCAAATTACTCAAATATTTTTTTTTTTTGGTTCATCAAAAATCTTGATTACTCGAGTAACTGAACTTTTGAGTAATCATAATTTCCAATTAATCGAATAATTGAGTTATTTAATTTATGATTAATTAAAATTTTGAGTAATCAATTAATCGCACAGCCCTAATATCGATAGTTATGTCTCGAGGAGAAATTTCTTTTTCAAAGTTCATTGACCTCAAGTACTCCACTCTAGTACTTACCCATCAGATCTACTTAAGTGCTTCTCACCCTAACGTACCACCCTAATGTCAGTAAATTAAATCTCTCCAAAAATCACTCAACTTGTGCTAAGATAATTTTTTGATTATGCTTGTAGAACTATTTACAACTTTTTTTTTGCCGAATGTGCATACATACATATGTAGGTGTCACCGAAAAATGTAAAAAGGCGACCGCTAGGTTCTACACAACAACATTTTTTTTTCGAAATTGCCTTGCAAAAATATTTCAGTATCAGGGGTGTAAGGCGAACATTATTTTGTTTATTTGTAAGATGGAACGGTCTAGTGGATATACATATCGTCGCCTGGGTAAAAGATTGTCGTATGTTAATTTCGGTAAGTTGGGGAAAATCGCGATTGAAGTTTGGAATACAATTTCTCAAAAATGCGAAGATAGATTTTCTTCAAAGTCTCTGAAAATTATTATTTAATTTTTAATGTTTATTTTTAATTAGTTTTGAGTTTAGGAAGGATTTTATTTAGTAAAATTTTGTCGTAAGTGCCATTTGAGATCAAAATTTCTACTAAATTAACGACACTTTTTACTCAATATCTCGGAAACTAAAATAGATATACAAAAATGGAGAACACCATTTCTAAGATATTGATTAGTTTAATATGACTGCATCACCAACTAAATGTTTACTAAATTATCTAAAAACTGATAACAACAATCCTTATTTCAAAATATATAACTGCATCTAGAACTAAAAATCGTCAAAATGGCGCTTACGACAATCTTTTACCCAGGCGACGATATGTATGTACATACATTTCATTTGCTATAAGCATATGTATATTAAGTAACATAAGTAGACATATTTTGTATGCATTTACATACATGCATGCGTGAAAGTACAATTCGCACACCGTCTTCAAAAGAGTCACAACTCAAAATAATACGTTTGTCAGAAAATGCGAAAAACTATTTCTTAGCACATGATAATCTTATGGGCAAGGGCGACTTTTTACATTAGGTTTTTTTTTTTTTTAACAAATTATAACAAAAATTTGCTCCACCTTTTGTTGAAAGGTAAATAAAAGCTCTGCGTATATTTTTAGGGCATAATCTGAAAAATGCCAAATTTTGAGTTGTGTCTCTTTTGAAGACGGTGTGCGAATTGTTGAACAATTCGCCTACGTCAGCCAGAAATTAGACACACGCTTATAAAACACATGCCCCAGTAAGCTGATGCATACGGTCAGCACTGATGCCATGTTCATATACTCGTAGCATGTACAGATATATGTATGTAGATATGTAAAAATAAAAATGTTAAGGAAAATAGATAACTAAACACTGAAGTTGAAAATGAATCATGACCCGCCGAATCAGTGCTGAATAATTTTGTTTTTAGGTGCTGGCTTACATAATTACACATACATACATACATACATTTGTACAATATTTTCATGCATTTGCTGATTAATAAACAATGCCTTCATGATTATGCCCTGATCAGCTTATTTATTAGCCTTGTAATGCACTATTTAGTTGGATTTTGTTTTCTAATAAAATTTTATACCTAATTAATAAAGATTGTGTATTTCTTTTACTTGCAGTTTGAAACGAGGACGGACTGACTACACATCCCCACAAAGTCACAAAGTTGTGCACTCAGCCAAATAACAAGTCGTCGTTGCCTTTGTTTTGTTTGTATGTATGTATGCTCGAGTGTATGCGCACGCTTTGAGTTGATCATCGAGCACGCTCTGAATTGTATTATCGAAAGGAAATATAGCGGGTCTAAGTCCGATAAGCGTACATACGTACGACTGTGCCGATTAGTAGTGGAATAAATATTGTAAAACGAAAACACATTTGTATACACAATTTGTGCGAGTGCAATAAAACTTCAACTTCAACTGCGGTTTAAAGTCTGCACAGCGGTCAAGCCTTGTATGCGTTAAGTGGGAAACATTTCCATAGATTTGTCGCTTTCATAGAAGTGAAATATCTTTCTTCGAACAATTTTGATAAATATTTGCTTTTTGTTCGTGTAATGTTAAATTACAAAACAATAACGCCCCTCAACATGCTCTAAATAAACGCAGACAACAAAAGTTAATATAAGTAGTCAATATTAAAATAATAATAATAATCACTGCATGTACAAGCATAAAACCGACAACAACAACAAGTAACAAATCAATACAAGCACCAGAAAGAAGCGACAACAAAACAACCAACCGTCTAGGAAGTACACAATTGCGCTCAGACGCATTCAGCCGCCGACTGTTGATTGTCGCATCCACACGCCAACACTGCCGCCAGTCCGAGATAAGCGCTTACAGCCAGCGCACAACACAATTAAATCTTGGAATTGCTGATTAGTTGGAGTTAGGTTAGCGTGACACTTGCAACCATTACGCCATTTACAATAGCTGTGCGAAATAAATACGCGCAAATCAAATTTAGTTTGAAATCTGTGTAGTTGAAAATCGGCTTAAACAACGAACTTAGTGTACCCAAGATTTGCGTATAATTTTGCCGAAACATGCCCGATACGAGTAATGATGTATTGCCCATAGTGGACAATGAAGAAGCACGCCCACCGTCGCCAGCCTCAGTGGCACGACGCAGTCCACAGGACAACGAACTGGATTTGCAGCCCAGCAGCTGTGGTTCATCGATGTGCTGCAATCCCACAAGTGGCGTACATCGATTCATTGCCTTGATTTTTATGTGTCTGCTTGGATTTGGTGAGTAAAGTGATTCGAATTTTGATTTAATTTAATTTAGAAATACATTTTGCACGTCTACATATGATTAAAAGTTCAAATGCGAGGTCTAGCTACCCTTTAATCTGTTTAATTTAAGTCATACTTTACGCGTTTTGCTTGCGACTAATTGAATATTTTTCGCCAGTCGCTGATAAGAAATTCGTACGTACTTACAGATAATTTTTCTTGACTTTCGCACATATGTACATAAAAAGATGCACAAATACATACAAACACATAAATATAGGTTTTTCAACTCGACCTTTAGGTTGTTACGCCTTTGGTTATTACTGTTGATAGCTATGCATCTTTACATTTACCATTCAATGTAAATGGGGCGGATAATTTTTAATATTTTTTTTTTTACAAAGAAAAGCGATAAATAGATAAGAACATCGCTGTCTTTTACTGCACAGAGTGTTTTAAAAGCGTTAATAAAATAAAAAGTTAACGTCTTAACTTGAAAAAAATTAAAAAAATGTATACATATGTATGTGTACTCCCTATGTTCGTAAAGTTGTGAGAGCCGTAGAATGGGACCGACCTACATACAGTTCCGAATATATAAATGCGAAAGATACATTTTACCACTCTTTGGCTATTACCCTTTCGTTTATTTAATGTTTATAATTTTTTTTATATTCTTAGATAGCTCGTTATCTAAAAAAAACCATGTAAGTCTAAATTAGCAAAATTCGTCAAAGTTTCATCAAAAATTTGAGCTTTTTAATTAGATTTCTTAGAAAACATTCTGAGTATGCAGTAGGGTGATTGACTTGGTTTTTTCCAAATCGGTTTCAACCGTTTATTTTTTATATCTATAGGCGTTTTTTTTTAATCTTGATTTTTCGAATATCGAATAAACCGAATTTTTTTAACGAACAAATCGGGTTTTTCATTTCATAAAAAGTACATCCAGAGGTTTGCGATTGTCTAGCGAGGGCCGACCGCTGTTGGGAAAAACGTTTTAAGTGTTGCAGGGATCATAAATTTAATCATGGACCTCCTGAGTGGAAATAGGCATTTACTTATTTTGCTTTGCTCTTTTATATTTAAAGGCTATGTTTTCTGTCAATAGTTTTATTTTTATTTTTGATCAGGGCTTCATACCAGCATAATCATTTTCACCGTATGAAAATTATGTAATATAAAACCGGTTTTATTCGGTTTTTTCTTAATTTCAAAATCGGGAACCGGTTTTTTTCAAAATGCAATTTTTCGAATAACTCGGAAACCGGTTTTGGAAAAAAGGCGAATAATCGAACACCCCGGTATGCAGTTTTGTAACCCATTAAATTTTAGTGGAACTTACCGTTGATTTTTGTAATTTTTTTGTGGTGTTGCTCATTTTACCCATACAAACAAAAATTGGAACAAAATGCGCCAACAAAAAATTGGCAAAAATCAACGATAAGTGCTAGCTACTTCAAAGTTGTACTTTGTTATACTCAAATTTAATGGGCTACAAATCTGAATACTCAAAAAAAAATTTCAAAAATCTGGTTAAAAACTTTTAAATTTTTATGAACACTTCGCTCATTTACTTTAACCCTCTAGTAGGCAGAACCGCCTCCAGACGGTCGTTAACTAAACACCTTTTTAGTTCACCTATAATAATTTTTTTCTATATTCGTAAGGCACGATCTTTAGACAAAAATCGTACCCTTACGGCGAAGTAAATTTTAATCCGTTATGTCAATCTGTTTTATTTTAATCCCCAGTTGAATTACAGACTTTGAAAACACGGTTAAAATTAGTTATTTCTTGCTATTTAGTAATTTCGTAATTAAAGAAATTTTTTCTTTTGAAAAATTTTTTGATATAAAAAAATTGGGTGGATTTCGTTGTTAAAAGTTTTATAATTATGTCACCATTCGAAATGGAGAAAATTGCTTTCGAACACAGACCGTCTACAGACCGGCTTGCCGACATATAAAACCCCAGTTTTGCATTTTTGACCGTCTGCAGACGGCATTGCCGGTTCGTAGGTCAACATTGTGTAAGAGAAAGCTGAAAATATGTGTAAGTATATCGGCGAGCACGTCTCCAGACGGTCTTGGTTTTTCTCCCCCTGTAGGAAAAAGTTACTGTCACAGATCGAAATGGACATCAGTTTTGGATTTCTCGTGCTAAAATCACCCATTCCTGAATTTTTCAACTCATAAAAAAATTGGCCTACTAGAGGGTTAATACTGTCATCACTAAAAAAATTGAAACACGAGAAAAATGGCTTTAAAGTTTTGACTTTACATACACTACCATAGTAAAAACCAACACATATTTTGTTCTAGTGAGATATTGGTAATTGGTGTCGGGCAGTATCGATACCAAAAATACTCAGAACTCGATTCTCAAAAGGATCGACAGCACCCGATTTTTAAAAGTATCGATACTGAGTACACCAAAGAACTCAGTACTCACAACAGAACTCGAAAGTACTCAGTACTCAAAAAAGAAACTCGAATGTACTCAGAACTTAGAAGACCTCGAAAGTACTCAGAACTTAAAAGAACTCGAAAGTACTCAGTACTCAAAAATACTTTGTTCCAATAATCGCTTTGATACATGTACTCAGGATCGATTCAAAGTGCTCAGTATTAAGTGTCGAATTGACCTAAAAAGTACTGAGTTTTATTTACATTTAACGGTATTTAGAAATGATTGTACTCAATTTGCAGTTTCAATAATTTTCAAGTACAATACTTGTACCCAGTACAGTTAGCCATTCATTTGACGTAATTTGGGATTCATATATGTATGTATTAATAATAATAATACATTGGCGCTTACACATATGTTAGTGTTTGGCCGAGCTTCTCCTCCGACTTGTGGCGTGCGCCTTGATGTTGTCACACAAAGCGGAGGGACCTACAGTTTCACGCCGACTCCGAACGGCGATTGTATTTTTATGAGAAGCTGTTTTTCATGGCAGAAATACACCCGAAGGTTTGCCATTGCCTGCCGAGGGACGACCGCTGTTAAGAAAAAACCTTTTTCCTATATTTTTTTTTGCGATGTTGCTTTGACCAGGGTTTGAACCCAGGTGCTGCGGAGTGGAAGCGCGCACTTGCTTACCACTACATAATAAAATACTGGCAGTTTGTTAGATTTCTACACTAAGTATTAAAATGTTACCAAACTGCATATTTAAAGAAAGTACTGAAAAATACCCGATCCTTGAAAGTATCGATACCAATGAACTCGATCCTCAAAAGTAATCGATACGTCCCAAGACTACTGGTAATCTATATAACTATGAAATTTTTATGTTTTTATTATGGATATGTTATTTAAAAATTTCAAAGCTGTAACGATAGCTAATTAGCAGAAAATGGGTCTTTATTCTTACCATGGGAGCGTTTGTAATCTATAAACTTTAAAGCCGTTTTTCTCGAGTTTTTGATTTTATGGATTATGGTACCCTTGCAGCAAAGCTACGATATGTACATTAGATCGTACCAGAAAAAAAGTTTGCCGTACACCTTCGAATTCAAAGTATTTTTGCAAGGCAATTTACATTTTTTGTTGGCCGAACGTTGTTATCGTCTTTTTACATTTTTCGTCATATCTTCGGCATTTCCAGCGGTTCTTAAAGTATAGTATATCGATTTTCTTGGCTTGAGGAGAAACGTAAAAACGTTTTTTTTTTCCAAAATTGATTGACCTCAAGCACCCCGTTCTAGTACTTACCCACAGATCTCAATTCTTATCACCGAACGTTTAACTCTAGTAACTGTAAAATGAAACGCGCCGAAACTCATTAAACTTTTGGTTAGGAAGATCGCGATTATTCCAGTAATTTGAAAAAAAAAAATTGTATTGCCGAGAGCAAATGTCATCGAAAAATGTAACAAGGCAGACTCTATGTTCGGCAAAAAAAAAAATCGAAATTGCCTTGCAAAAATTCTTTAGACTCAGGGGTACATCTCGAACTTTTTTGTTTTGTAGTATAATGAAGTGTAAGTTTGAACAAAACCGCGTTTTCAAAACTTTTCTAAAAAAGCGTATTAGAAAAGTGGAAACTCGTATGCCCATATATTGAATTGTCCTAATGGTGATTTAGTTTCTTCCAAAAAATGTTCCACGGTGCAAAATGTGTTTGATGTTACACTCATGCCTCCAGCTAACGCATTTCATAATATTGTCGTTTTAAGCAGCTACCTGATTTTCAGGGCAACGATCTCCTCTGACAAAGCTTCAAAGGGCTGAGAATTTGTATATTTTGCCTTACAGAGTGTGGCATTTTATGAACTCGAAAAGCGAAAGTGGCAATCAAAAGGCGATATTTTTTGGTAGAAACGACAACACCATATTTTTTCCACAAAGTTTAGAAATTTTGTTTTAATGTTTTTTTTTTGTAGATAGTATAAGCAATATTTTTATAAAAAATTTGCGGAATAAATTAAAAAAAATTGAAACTTTGTTAAAAATTCTATGCGCCAATACTTTTTCTGGCAGTGTATGTGCCTATCATCGGCAAAAATTTTATAAAATAACATATTGTGGTATGGGCACCCCACACGTCTGTGCGTACATCGAAAAACAGCGAAAATCACAAGAAATTAATCACGTCGGAACGACTCGAACTTTTCCCGACCAAGGGCTGACTTCGAATCAAACCCCGTACCAGAAACCTTTAACTGCGGTATATGCCAGAGAAAACTCCACCCGAACTCCACTTCGGTAAGGTGCAATATTTGCAACGGATGGATTCACCTAAATACCTGTTCAGGTCTTAACTTACACAAGGAGTGGACCACCCGGTTTATGGACCTATTTTGCTCAATCCAAACGGCAACTATATTCTCCAAGGTGATCCGCATTCTGAGCAATGCGCCGGTGACTCCAAAAACCCAATCAGCCTTCACGGTTCCACGGAGCTAACCTGATCAACATTATTCCAATTCCGCGGCCAGCTCCCCAACCTTGATCCCTCTCCAACTACCGTGTGGGGACTAAACGGCAGTTCTGTCAGTCCAGAATAAATCGTAACATGACCCCCTGTCTTGGCTGGTGTGACTTTAAAGTATGTTCTGGTTTGCGCACCACCCGTGAATGGACGAGTGAGTACTTCGTTCCCGGGGGTTGAGCTCTGCACCCCCAATCGTCACCCATGACGCCTCAAACTGCCACAGCAAGGCAACAAGCTTAATAGCAGCCCCTACCCTGAATCGCGACCAGCCTCCTAAGGACAACTGAACTGCAACGGACTCTAAAGCAAGATCGAGGACCAACCATTTTAATGGATCGGCACGGTATATTGATAGCTGCAATCCAAGAAACGAAGTCGCACAGTAAGGAAACCTTGCGCGGCCTGCAATGTGCTCCGTAAAGCTGCCTTTACATGAGGCAATTTTTTGACAGGCGATAATCGCATGCAAAAGTTGAATTGCTCTCTACTTTGAGGCAAGCGATTTTTGAATCACTATTTACACGAGCGATTTTTCCAGCGCAATGTTGATGAATCGCCTGGAAAATCGCCTCATGCAAAGGCAGCTTAAAGGTCACGAGCGAGACAATGGCTGAGTAAGAGCCGCCATTCATTCGACATCACACTATGCAATATCGTCCTATTGAAGCAGATATCAACCGATCTTTGGCTTCTATTGGCAGAGACCACTCATCATTCCGCATAATGAACGACAAAGCCTCCACCACGCGTGCTAGCTGGCGAGGATCAGTTCCACAAAGTGTTCACTGCTGCAGCAGGTGCTTAAGAGGGGATTTCTCTTTCCGGTTAAAGAAGTTGTACTGGCAAATGAGCATCATAGTCTACGCTGTGTCGATCCCGTGGAACCCTGCCTTCTGGTCACTCGACGTTTGGCTTTATCCACCGGAGGATGCAGAATGAACTTCCGGCTAAAATAGTTCGCGCACCGCTCCGGGTCCGACGAAGCATGGTCACCAAAGTCTATTTCGACTCTGTCGTCTCGCTTCGTCGGGTTGGACAACGACCTCACGGTTGACCAAAGCTTGCTCACACCAGAGGCGAAGTTGCAGGTCTTCAAATGCTCTTCCCATTTCTTCCGCGAATGTACGTTCACAAGTTGCCGAATCTCCGAATTGAGATCCCTGATACGGGGATTTCCGGGATCGGCCTGACGAAGGTTGTCACGCTCATCGGCTAGGACAGCCACTTCAGCAGGAAAGTTCGGACGTGGATCCTTAATACATCCTGCTGGGATGAAGCGAGCTGCAGCAGCAGTGATAGCCCTGCGGAATTTACGTTCACCTACGTGAACGTCGGTCGGTATGGGTAGTGCAGTGAAGGCGCTTTCAGTAACATGCGCGAAGCCTTTCCAGTCAGCTTTGGAAAAGTTGACATAGGTCCGGTGATCCGGTGATCCGCGGATGCAAAGTCGGCAGGTTTATCAATCGAGATGACTATGGGCAGATGGTCTGATGCTAGGGTCAGCATAGGTCGCCGTGATACGCTGTTTATCAGACCAGCGCTGACAATTGTTAGATCTGGCAAGCTGCAGCGGCTGCCCATAATCCTGGTGGGTGCGTCGTCGTTCATTGTGCAGAATGTCGAATCGTCTATCTGCTCAGCCAGATGTATTCCCCTACGATCATTTGACAGGTCTGAGTGCCAAAGATCGTGGTGCGCGTTAAAGTCGCCAGCTACCATACGGTTTTCACCTCTGAGTAGCGCACCTATTTCAGGGTGATATCCTGCCGGGCACTGGTGACTGGGGGTATGTATACGTTAAATATTTCGAGCTCAACATCGCCTGATCGGATAGCAATACCCTGACATTCTAGGATGGTATCCCTGCGGTCGATGTCTGCTTCAATAAGACGATACTGCACGGTGTGGTGCGTGATGAACGCTAAACCTCCACCACCATTGTCTCGCTCGCGATCTCGACGGTGCACGTTGTATCCGGCGCAATTCAACAGGGTTGAATTGCCGTGCAACTTCGTCTCTTGGACCGCAGCTATTAATATTCCATGCCTTCCCATGTAGACAGTTATCTCCTCGATCTTGCTCTGGAGTCCGTTACAGTTAAATTGTAGTTGGGAGACCAATTGTAATATGTGGAGTTAAGGAGTTGTGTTGCCTGCCGGCTCCCTGCTGTATGTGCTGCAAAAGGGGGTGCTGCCTTGTGGTGGCGGTTGGCGGCGTCGCGGGGGAGGTATGCGACTGGGCAGCACAGCAGGGCCCCACATAGTCACTCGTCCAATCACGCGTGTTGCGAAGTCCTGAGCATGCCCTAAAGTGGCATCAGCCAAGACAGGAGTTGCACTTGACTGATGTCACGTTACGGTATATTCTGGACTGACAAACCGAGCAGATTGTCGGAGGGACTAGGAGCTGCTGGCGGCGGTGTGTGGGTGTGTTGGTTGTGTGCTGCACGGGCGTGTGGTGGTTTGCCGTGGTTGCGGTCCGATTCGCACAGCATGGGGCCACGAACGACGTAGTCCATTGCCGGTGCGTACGGAGGCCTAAGCAGTTACGGAGGTGACTCCACCCGTCACAGGCATTGCACCTGACCGAGGTGGAGTTTTTATGCAGTCGTCTCTGGCATACGCAGCTGGTGTAAATTTCTGGCCCTGGGTTGGACTCTATGCCAGCCCTGAGCAGAAGGGTACGGAGCAGATGTAGCCCCATTACGAACAACGTTTAATGGATTTCGCCGACCTAAACGGGGTTAGATTGCCGAAACAACAGCCCTTGGTCGGGTAAAACCCTAGTCATTCCGGTACGTAGAACCGGCTGTCGTGGGAATGTACACAGGAAGTCTATTACCCTTCTTCACAGACTCTTTACCCTGTGCATATCGTATTTTGACTTTAACTACCACACATCGCAGACGAAGAGCTTTGGCGGATGCGAAAAACCCGCGTAACTCTGAAATAATTAAGGTCTGGATACTATAGCTGACTGTACTCATACTTATGCAAACTCGACGCTGACATACCAAAAATATAGGTTCCCTTCACAACACTAACCACTTTCTCAACTCCCTCTCTCCCTTTGGGTCGAGCTTACCGTTAGATGAGCTTGATGACCACGATTTATGTACTTGCCGACTTAGCGATTTAGCGAGGCTCTTAAAGTGTTAAGCATTGCATATTGTTAGGCTCTATTTAATAGTTGAACCAATTTGCTAATCATTATGCTTCTCTCTTTCAGGTTCCTATTTTTGCTACGACAATCCCGGCGCTCTGCAAGAGGTCTTCAAGAAGGAACTAAATCTTACCACCACGGAGTTTACACTGATCTATTCCATTTATTCATGGCCAAATGTTGTGCTCTGCTTCATTGGCGGCTTCTTAATCGATCGCGTTTTCGGCATACGTCTGGGTACAATCATTTACCTCTTCATTTTACTAATTGGTCAGTTGATATTCGCTTCTGGTGGACTTTTGGGTGCATTCTGGGTTATGATTATGGGTCGTTTCATATTCGGCATCGGCGCTGAGTCATTGGCGGTGGCGCAAAATAATTACGCTGTCCTCTGGTTTAAGGGCAAGGAATTGAATATGGTGTTTGGTTTACAATTGTCGGTGGCACGTTTTGGCAGCACTGTCAACTTTTGGGTAATGCAGCCGATATATGATTATGTTACGAAATTTTATGAGGGCCATAGAGCAATCGGTGTGGTGTTGCTGCTAGCAGCGGGCACATGTGTGTTGTCGCTATTGTGCGCTTTGATTTTGGGTAAGTGATTGAGTGGTTGAGTGGATAAAGTAAGATTTCTATTTCTATAATCTATATTTTGGTGTTTTACATGCTTTCTAGGCTGGATGGATAAACGTGCGGAACGCATTTTACAGCGCAACACTAATCCTTCTGGCGAGATTGCCAAACTGAGCGATGTCACAACTTTTAAGGTCAGCTTTTGGATGGTTTCCATTATTTGTGTGGCTTATTATGTGGCCATATTTCCATTTATTGCTTTGGGAAAGTGAGTTGATACTCTTTAAAATAGTTTGGAGTCTTTCTTTTCATTGTAACTTGCACTGCTTGTTTTTAATTTTAGAACTTTCTTCATGCATCGGTTCAACTTTCAACCGGATCAAGCCAACAATGTCAATTCCATTGTGTATTTAATTTCGGCTATTGCTTCGCCACTTTTCGGCTTTGTTATAGACAAGACTGGACGCAATGTTAGCTGGGTATTTTGCGCTACATTCTCCACAATTTGCGCACATGCACTACTCGCATTTACTTTGCTAAATCCATACATTGGTATGGTAGTTATGGGCTTGTCATATTCCATGTTGGCCGCTAGCTTATGGCCTTTAGTTGCTTTGATCATTCCTGAGTACCAACTGGGCACCGCCTATGGCTTGTGAGTGAAGTGAACAAAATTAATGTGTTTTATGGTTCGATTATGTATAGCAACACAATCTGAGTTGTGTTGCTGATAGGCAACGCTACTGAAATGAAAATGTATATTATGAATAGCAGCTATAGTTAAGTGCTATAGAGTTGAATATTGAGATACCAGTTGCCATTGGCGTATGTAATAGGATTTCAGCTACTGTCACGCAACTGAAGTTCGGTTGTCATCCGTAATCGAGCCATTAGTTTACAAATTTACTTCTATTTACTATTTGTCTATGCACTTTTTCAGCTGCCAATCTGTGCAAAATCTTGGATTGGCTGTAATCACCATTGTAGCTGGCATGATTGTCGATCGCAGCGATGGCAACTACATATGGGTTGAGCTATTCTTTATGGGCTGGCTTACTAGTAAGTATCGCGCATACTTTACATGCATACATTTTTAAACTTTTATAAAATATGAATTGAGGGCCCTATTTTACTAATTTCTGTCGAATATTTTCTCTCCTTTAGTTGCTTTAATTTCAACCTGTGTAATTTGGGGCTACGACAAGAAGGTGAAAGGTAACCTGAATATGACGCCAGCACAACGTGTCCAATATGCTAGCGCAATGTATGTGAAATTCTAATGAAATGAAAATGCAAACGCAAACAAGTACATATAAATAGAATTTTTGTTAATCAAATTCAATGCCGGTAGGCATTAATGTATGCGCATATTTACAGACGTGCGGCGAATCAGGATAACGGCATTTACTCGAGCGATCAGGAGCCACTACTGGATGAATAGAAAGCGCTATCAGCAGCAGCAGCGCAGCGAGTAGTAGCGCCGTTAGTATAGAGCGAGTGGCGGGAAAGAGGCACGGAGTACAGGTCAAACGTGAAAGATGGATGCTGTAATTTGCAATAGGCCAAACAAAAAACACTAATCATAACTGTAGTTAGCAGAAAATATTTCTAAGATATTGCATGAAAATTTGGCGAATTTCGATTTCGATCAATGGTACCCCACCAACTAACAAAAACAACCACAACAACTGGCGCATATCATACATAATTAACCGACTCACTATAGCATACATACTTACACACATTTGCACGCTTTCGCTTAGAAATATGTACGTTGCGTGGCACTTGGCAAATGCATACGTGCGTAGCGCTTTTGGTGATTTCCTATTTTATTTTAAATTTGTTTTTAAATTTGCAAGAAAATCTATTTTTACACAAAACAACTTTTGCTATAATACTATTATTAAACATTTTACCATATAACATATTTATTTTATAAGCATAAAAAAACAAGCAGTTAACTCTTATACCAATATACACACCAATATACCATCAATTGTGTGGAAAACTAAATCGTTAAAATCTTGTAGTTGTATTTAAATAGAAAACGCTTAGTTATAGGTAAACGCTGTTGCAATTTTCCAAATATTTTTAAGAAATTTTGTTTAACCAATTTTTGGCATTTTTGTAGCAAATATTTTTTAGGCAGCGAAATTATGTAACATTTTGTAAACAAAATATATTAAAATTTGGACAAAAACACAAAAAAAGATAGCGACAAATTCATAATGCTAATTGTTAGTCATACATAATTGTTTTAAAATTAATAGGATATAACAAAAATTTAAATAAAATCACAAATCTATTATAATGTTAATTACTGTATATTTGTCTATTAACAATTGAAACGCTTTAAAATGTGTGTTTATTGTTGATATTTAAATGTATATGTATGTGCATGGAAAAAATCAACGCTAGATGATACTTATTTACCGGCTAACGTAAAGGAATAAAAAAAAATCAAAACAATTAAATCAATCAGAATCGAATGTTGAAAAATATATGTATGTAACCTATCAAATTTCTATATATTATAGCACAGAAATATTTATATTTAAATGTTATAATCGAAATTTGAACTCGGTCAAGTGCAGTGAAGACGGCGTGAGTACGGTATTATTATGTGATTTAGTAAATGAAAAAAGAAAGAATAACATACAAGTATGAATAAAAATTTTACTAAAGATAAAGAAATAAATATTATGATGTATAAAATTAAATATAACGATGTACAAGTATGAAAAATAAAAAAAATAAAACACGAAAAAAAGAAAGCTAAACAAAAACAAGTTTGTTTCTTTTGTTTGGGCCAAATCCTGCATATTTTCTATAGTGAGTTAGAGCTGCTAAGTGAGTTAGTTCCCTGCTACTCCTACGCGCTTCCAAGCGAACGATTTTTGCGATTTGTTATAAACTTGGATGTTAATTACTGCCTGATGACGGAAAATCCGTTGATTTATTTTATTGGTTACTGCTTTCGTAGGCACAAGATGAGGGCTATGTTAAAGCGGCAGAAAATTTGGAAGTGGAATATGAAGGGAGTGATGCCACACTAGGCAACCTTAAAGTACCTGTATTGCTTGTTTTGATAAAAATTCATCTTTTCATTAAACAGTGACTCGAACAACTGTTCACAAGACAAATGTTTTTAAACATTTTTTTTTTCAAGTAAATTTTTTGTTTTTATGAAAAATTAACTCATTTTATAACAAAAGTTGAAAATTTTGTAAGAAATTTTGAAAGATTCAAAAAGTTTTCATTGAAGTTTTAAACTTTGTAAGGATTTCTCAATACACTGAGGGACTCAATGCCGAGGGGGGACCGCTATTAGAAAAAATTTGTTTGTTCTTTATTTTTGGTGTTGGTCAGAAATCGGGCTCGATTCCAGGCCCTGCGGAATGGTAGTGCACACTTCTAACCACTACACTACAGCGGCCGCCAAAATGTTCAGAATGAAAAGAGAAATTTGCTGCATCGTTATTTTGTTATATATGTACATATATCGTGCCGCTGCGACCTGATTGGGCCATCTTATTACGCTTTTCAGCATCAGTCGGACGCGAGTGATTTGCCTTGTATAAAACCTCGTTTGGTATTAAACGGCGCGAAGAGGTCCTTCCCAATTTGGAAGGAGCTGAAGTTTCTGCTCAACGTCACTGCATTAGTCACCGTATTAGTTTTTTGGGGATCCCAAATTTAGAGAAGGCGTCGTTCAGGGCTCGAATCGTAACATCCGTTCACGGATCGAAAACGATACGAAAGAAAATTACGTGATACGTCAGGCAGTACAAGTTGAATAGGACAAAGAGTACGTTCACGTATGTCATAATCCGAAAAATGTGTTTTTACGTGACGAGTAGTACGATATCGTATGTGGCGATTCGAGCCCTGCTGGTTGTTTCTCTTCGTGCTATCAAAAGCGGATTTAAAATCGATGTGTCCATTTACATATGAAGTATATTCTCCAGAATGTGTTTTGAAAATCGGTTCAATGATGGACTTACTAGGTCTGAAGCCACACTGATAAGATCCAAATAGTTGGTTCGTAACGGACTTCATCTTTCACACAGTATAGTCGACAGAACCTTGTACGCTATTTGAAGAAAGTTTATTCTGTGATGATTGGCGCAAATTGCGTGGGTTCCCATCAGCCAGTGCCCGGTGTGAACACCAATTACGTGTCGAGATTTACGCTAATCCAACTTCGGTCAGATTTGTCTTGATATCTTGCACGCGTGGTCCCCGCAGATCATCTTGTCTTTGCCCGTTCGATAAAGTTATTTTCCAGCCATAGTTTGCAGTACCAGCGGTACTGATGGCAGAGACAATAAGGAACCTTTTCTTGCTAGTTTATCAGCAACACAGTTGACCGGTAGGTCTCAATGTCCTGGCACCCATACCACATGAGTGGCGTAACTCCTTGTCAAGTCATTCAGAGCACTGCTAGGATACATTCCACGGTGAACTTCGATGTAGATTTGTCACAAATAAGTGCTTTAATAACTGTCTGAATATCAGAAAAGATAGTTACCAGGAGAATCGATCAGTCATCTTGCAGCCTTGTTCGTAGCTGTTCGTTCAGACAGAAAGACGCCACAGAGCTATGACAAACGAAAACTGAGGCTGAGTGAGAGTTCTTGCGAGTATACTCCACTTCCAGGTGTATTTAACAAGGTGATGTTGGGACGACAGCTGAGTTTTTCGCCGTGAAAAGTATTATTATAGCATTGAGGTTTGAATCGAAATAAAGAGTAGACCGCCCTTTATTATTTTCCCGTGCTGGATGAGTGCAGCCAAGATAATCAGCATCAATGCGAGAGTCGTGTTGAATGCACGTCGTTTTTCGAGAGTCGAATCGTAACGAAAATTCCACGGCATTGCCTAAAATTTCGACTCGACTAGTGAATTAAAACCAAAAAACTTCACTGCATAGTTTTCGACGATTTTCGTCGTTTATTTATTTTAGCACGACAGTAGACAATGCCGATGTTGTCGAGTCGTACAAGTTAGCTCAATTTACGACTTACGCAATGAGGCTGAATGTTACTTTCTTACACACTTTAAACAAATGGCAGCGAATATTTTTTTTTGTGTAAATTGCTTTTTATTGAAGATTCTCTTAATTTTGCATATGAAGATTTTGTACATTTTTCATTATTTTTTATAGATATACTATTTCTTATCGATTGTTTTTGTTTTAAGATAAAGTTTGTCTTCTCTATTAATTACAAATATACGTACTTATTCAATTTTTTACTTCGATTTTGTATATTTATATTTTTTCATGCATGTACCTAAATACATACATATATGTTCATATGTTTGTATATAAGTATATATTTATTATTATAAAGTACATACGATAATACACATTCTTGGTATATGCTTTCTCTGTTCAAGTTTCTTGTTTTTATTTAACAATATTTAAGTGTTCTAGATTTTATTTTGGCGTAATATATGTATGTATGTTTTTATTCAATTATTTTAATTAATACGTAAGGGTATGTACAATATAGATACATACAATATTTATTCATACATACATATGTTTTTAAATCTATGTATGTATGTATATATAGATCCGTCTAAACTAATTATATGGCCCCGCTATTCCACAATTATTTTTGTTATTTTAATTACTTTAAATTATGTTGTAAAAGATTTGATTTTTTCTTAGTTAACTTTTGATGTTTTGGCGATTTTGTTTTTTGTGCGAACTGAAGTTGCTTAAAAACAAATTTATTTATAAAAAATTTTTTTTCTGGGAAGTTTTTTGCTGGGCCGAAAGTAACCTAATTTTTTTCCATTTTTGATTTGATAAAAACCTTTTTATTAATCATTTCAATGCGCCGTAAGCTTCAGCATTAGATGTGCTGAATAATTTTAGAAGTGTGGTGAAAAGAACGTAGCGGTTTACTATAGAACTACGGAAAAAAAATGTAGATAGAATAGCTAATAATGCGTCGAATATTTTACAACTTTACTTAAGAAATTTTGATGTGACGTAGATAAAACCGAATAGGGGTATTCTCGCGATGACAAAAAAGCTTCAAAAAAACCTCGCAATTTTTTACTGAACTGTCATAACTTCTCGAAAAACTTTCTAGTTGTGAGTTTTCTAATTTTTTTAGTTAAACGGAATTAGTCAAATGCGATTAGGCATAAGTTAACGGGCAAACAAAAAAAATACAGCAGTGCGCCTGGACCACACTATGCATGTCAAATTTCTCTTGATTAATTTTTAGTTCGTTTCGTACAGAAAACGAAATTTGCCTTCGTCCTCTTCGCATGCGTTTCCGTCGTGGTATTTGTCGTCGTCATTTTATTCACCTTCGTATTTCTATTGGTTTTGGTTGCCGTGATCGTTTTCGTATACGTCGTCGTATTTGTCTTTGTGTTCGCCTTCGTATATGTATGTACGTTTTCATATTTATCTTCGTTTCGTATCCGTCTTTGTCTTTTCTTTCGTCTTCGTAATTCATATCGTATTCGTCCGCGTCGTCTTATTCGCCTTCGTACTCGTATTCTCCTTGGGTTTGGTATTCATATTCGTCGTCGTGGTATTCGTCTTCGTCGCCTTACTCCCAGCCCAATACTCAATACATGTTTAGAGAGTTCAGTGGAAATTTCGAAGCTTACGAATCTTTTTGCATTGTAAGCGAATACCCCAATCTGAGTTTTTTTAGGCAAATCAAAAACATAAAAAATACTACTTTAAAATAAAAAAAAGCAAAGCTAATACTAGGCTGAAATTCAAATTTAGTAATTTTTTTTTACTCAATTTAATCTTTTACATTTTGACATTAAAGTGCGATTTGTGCTGTAAAAATATATATATTTTTAAGTTGTCTCAAGAACCGTTCACTATATCAATACATATTTGCGCATGCTCGTAGGTACATACCACTTTCTAACTGCAAATTTTTGTAGCATCAATTTTTTTCCTACATACAGTCATCACTCTAATTATGACTACTACTTGCAGTTGTTGCTACTCGAAACTTATTTCTCAAACTGCACACGTTTGACTATGTTTTTCATTCTCATTCACTTTTTTTTTAGTAAATTTGTGCAGAGTGCTTTAATTTACTTTTTTTTCTAGCGAAACTAATTCTAATAATTTACGTTTCGTTCGGTCAGCTTACCGTTAACTGCCTGTGAAAACGATTTTGATTTTTTTTTTGAATTTACAAATAAATGACTATATAACTACTCATTTTTCTTTGCAAAACACATTCGCTAACAAGCAAATGCACTGTACATACATACAATTATAAATACATAATTATGCAACTACAAATGAAGAATTGGTTGCGGCCCAAAACCGACAGAACGGCTATAGTGCCAAATAAGATTCAAGAGAAAAAATTGCTTGTAGCAATTTGAAATTTAGTTGCTTG